GTGTGTGTGTGCGGAGGAGAGGCGGCGACTAAAACTCTGAGCAAGCGCCACATAGAAACGCCAGCGCAGGATCAGCAAGACCTTCTTATGTAGGTACACTACATTTTCTTGCTGTGCTGTAGCATATGTTTTACAGGCAGGGACGTTCAAGTGCTTTCCAGGATTTCCGCGAGCTCTTCATGCAGATGGTCCGGTGCAAATGTAGCACGTCATTAAAATGGCGCCAAAAGATTAAGTTGAGCAGCAGCAGACGCTGCCCTAAATAAATGTTTACGTGCATTTGGCCTCTGTATTAATTTCTATGAGCGCCTGGTGTGGTTTGCCTTGATATTTGGTCGTTACTTTGAATCGCGTAGCTGCTGGCCGTGCGCGCGCATGTGCGTATGTGTGTGTGTTCAAAGCGTCATATCGCAGGTTAGGCGCGCGCGTCCTGGCCTGACTGTGCGGCGTATCTTATTTAACCTAAAAGTTTTGGTGTTGAACCGGCAAATGTCATTAAACGCATGCCCATATTTTGCAGTTTCAGTGTATATATGAATTTTGGTTATGTTTCAGAGGGGTGTTAGAAAATGTTCCCCGTGCCACGGTCTGGGTTGGTGCGGATTTCAGCTCTGCCGTGATGTTGGAAAAAGAGCGTTAGAGAATATTAAACTGATCGACGAATGTATTTATATACCACACTTATTTGTTTCTTGGTACTATACGTTGATTTTTAAATATACCAAAGTGCAGCAAAACACTTGTAAAATTCATTTGGATTCAATGGGAAACAATAATAATAATAATAGTTTTGTTTCGAACTGGCATTGAAATGGACAGCTATGTGACGTCAAAGGTCGTGTTCTGTCAGTCGCGTCACATGGAACGCTTGCGCAGCGTGAGCTGCTGTTTGTTTACTCCTTGTGAGACGTTGAATTTGGGCAGAATAATCGTGTTTTGTTTGTTTGATTTTGTTTTTAATTGTAATGCAGTTGAAATTAGCAGATAGTTATGCAATTTTGAAGTTGTGTCTAAATTTATTTTAAACCTTATGTTTTGGGTTAAATTCGTTAAGTTTGGCAGATCTAATCCATTTTTTAAATCTATTTGCTTTGCTTAATTAGTCACATAAATACTAATTTAAAACACGATTTCATTCGTTTGTTCGATTTAAGTCGTTAAATATTCGGTATATGATTAAAAAAAACATTATACATTATACAATGTGTGTGTATGACTTTCCAGGCTTGCGTGCATTGCTCAGAAATTTGAGTTTGCTTTTTTTCTTTCTTCTTTTTTTTTTCAGATTTAATCAGATTTTAATTGAATATACAGATGAAGCGGCTAAGTTAATGGTATGTACACATGACGGCCTTTGTTCACCCCCCAGAGCCGTGTGAGACACTTTTTTTTAATGGATGGGCGCTTTTTATTTAACTTCTTTTGGACTGATGCATGCAACACCCGCTGAGTGGCATTAAACAGCTTGAAAGATCAAAGACAATTTTTTATATAATTCCAACTGGATTCGTCTGAAAGAAGAAAGTCATATACACCTAGGATGGCTCTGGGGTGAGTTAAACAGCCTAATTTTCATTTTTGGGTGAACTAACCCTTTAAGGTGAAGTTTGTACGTTTCACGAGCATTTCAGTCTGCCATTGGTCTATTCAACAGATAGTCCCGCCTTCAGACCCACGGGATTGGTTGCACCGATGTTATGTTGCGGTGCTCAACCAAACAGCAGCGGTTGGATAGCACCACGTTTTGGAGGAATCGGCGTACAAATTACTTCTAAATTGATTCTGCATATTAAGCTCAAATAGCAGGATTATATAAAGTTTAATACAAAGTATCTTAACGTAGTCTTTAAGTTGAGTTTGACTTGTAAAGTCTTCTTTAGCTCTGAATCTGCCTGTCTCGGCTGGCTTCAGTCAAGTTGTGGCTGGCTGGGGGAAAGCAGTGCACTCACCAGTCACCTCTGCAGGATCAGTTTTCAGGAATGTTCTGCTAATGTTTGATCAACCTCTGCAGATTTCTGCATCACTTGAAGGCCACGGCAGCTGACGATGAAGCGAAACCGTGTCCCGAGCACCAGTGAGGACTCAGATAATGGAAGTAAGTAGACAGACACTTTATTTTCTAGTACCAACTTGCCACGAGTAATCTATATTGCCCTTCTGGTAATACTGAAGTTGCATGTTCTTAAAGTCACCATGAAATCAAGATTGGACAATTCTTATTTTTGCAATATGTTTATTATAAATTATCTGTCCACATCATATATATATATATATATATATATATATATTTTTTTTTTTTATGTCACAAGCCCTCTCCTTCTGCAAAACTAATACTGCCATTTTTTTTAAACTAATATAACTATTAATGCTGCTAATAACATGAAGTATCCCTCTTTCTCGGAATCTTCAGCACAAGATTCAGCAGTCGTACTGTCTCTTTCAGGTAACTCCACATCCTGGTCTCAGCATTCCAACTCCAAGCACATGAAACAGAATGGAAAAAGACCCTCAGAGGTACAAAGAAACGCTTCACCCTCAGAACCACTTCACATATGACCCTAATAACAGACAAAGATGATAATGTTGTAGATATTTGTCACAAATCTTTTCATGCATATTCTGATAGTCACACCCCCTCTTTTCTTTCTCCTCCAGGTGTTCAGGACAGACCTGATCACTGCTATGAAGCTGCATGATTCATACCAGCTGAATCCAGAGGATTATTATGAGCTGGCAGATCCCTGGCGGCAGGAGTGGGAGAAAGGGGTTCAAGTCCCTGTTAGTCCCGACTCCATACCGCAGTGTACAGTGCGGTATGAGGTTTTTGTTTTTTTTACCTGTCAAACTATTCATCTTTAATGGATGCCATTGATTTATTCCTGTTTTTTTTTTTTCCTGCAGCACTGTAGCTGAGAAATCCCCCGCTCCTCTGTTCATCAGGCCGAAGAAGCTGATTCGCTCATCTGAGTCATCGATGCTGGGATACGTGGGTATTCAGACGCTAGCTGATGGCATGTGTCGTTATGACCTGAATGAGGAGGACGTAGCTTGGATGCAGATTGCTAACGAGGAGTTCAGCAAGATGGGTGAGCAGATACAGTCTGGAGTTTTCATTTGACCCATTATGCACTCAAATTTCTTACACACTGTTGAAACAAATGTCACGTGTAGCTAACTGATTTGGTTGTAGGCATGCAACTCCTGGATGAGCTGACAATGGAGCGGGTCATGGAGAAGTTTGAGCACCGTTGCTATGACAACATGAGCCACGCCATGGAAACGGAGAAGGGGCTTGGCATCGAGTACGATGAAGACGTGGTGTGTGACGTTTGTCAGTCCCCTGATGGCGAGGACGGCAACGAAATGGTGTTCTGTGACAAGTGCAACATCTGTGTGCATCAGGTGTGTGTGTGTGTGTGTGTATGTATGTGTTTGTGCACCTGAGTGTCTGAATGCATGTGCAAGCACATATTAATTATATAACAATGTACCTCCCCACAGGCATGTTATGGTATACTGAAGGTTCCTGAGGGCAGCTGGCTTTGTCGTACCTGTGCACTGGGCATCTTTCCCAAATGCCATCTGTGTCCTAAAAAAGGTGGGGCCATGAAACCCACTCGCAGTGGCACCAAGTGGGTCCACGTCAGCTGTGCTCTCTGGATACCAGAAGTAAGGATGCATGCAAGTCTTATAAAGTAATTTTGTTAAAGGGGTCATGAACTGGCTTTTTTATTATTTTATACTGTTGTCTGAGGTCCACTTATGATGTCTGCATGTTTTTTACATTCAAAAATATCAAAATCAATAGGTAATAGGCTATTTTCTACCCTGGTTTTGAGGCCGGCTCGAGAAACGCTCTGTTTTTATGGGCGTGCCGCATTGAAGACTTGGAAGTAAATGCCCACTGCTATGATTGGATAATAATTTTGCATAGTAAACTACCTTTCTGTGTGTCTGTTTGACAAGCTACATCCTTCATAGGAGCCTTCTGTGACTTTAGACATGTACACAGAATCAGGACATATCAAGCGATCTCTAACAAAGCAATAGTGACACA